GAGAGAGTTCCAGACCATATAGACCCATAGCTTAAGAAGAAAAACCTGCAAAACCAGTAAGTACATAGAATCATTCTCTCAACCCTTCATTGTCACCTTTGGAGAATAACATTTAACTACCAAAATAAGATGAATTTATGAGATTTAAGAAAACAATGTGCAGGAGGGCTTGGTGGCACACGCCTTTAATCCAAAGAAGAGGTAAGTGGATCTCTGTGAGTTCAAGGCCAACCTGGTCTACATACCGAGTTCCAGGCCAGCTGGAGCTACAGGGAGACCCTGTCTCAAAATATTAAAAAAAAAACGCACCAAAACCAAAAAAAAAAAGAAAACAATGTGGGACTGGAGAGATGCCTCAGTGGTTAAGAGTACTTACTGCTCTTGCAGAGGACTGGAGTTTTGTTCCCAGCAGCGACATGAAGGCTCACAACAACATACAACTCTTGCTCCAGGAGATCCAATGTCCAACACCCTCTTCTGGCCTCAGTGGACACACACACACACACACACACACACACTTAAAAAAATTTTGTCGTTTTTTGAGACACGTTCTCCCTGTAGCCTGGTACAACCTAGAGCTCACTATGTAGACCAGGCTGGCCTTGATCACACAAAGATTTGCCTGCCTCTGCCTCCTGAGTGCTGGGATTAAAGGCATGTGCCACCACACCTGGCCAAAAAATTCTTTTATTGAAAAAACAGAGAGACAGAGAACAATGTACTAACTACCTCAGTTATTAAAAATGATGGCAGGAGGAACAAAAATGAAGATGAAATAAAACAGTACTCTTTATGGTAATATATGAGATGAGAAAGGGCCTGTAGCAGGAATCTCAATCTTATGAAACAGAATCCTGGCTGAAACTGCAAAGAAGGCTTTAATTATTAAGGTTAAAAAAATCACTAAACTGTGTTTTATATGACTAAACTCACACAGCACCCCCCATTTTTTAAAATGTTAAGTGAATAAGAAGCACAAATTGCAGTAACCACTTAAAGAAAAATTGCTTTCTGTTTAAATTTTGCATCAAAGTGACACAAGTCGGTAGCATTAGGTAAACTTAATAAAAAACTTAGCCCAAGTAGTAGAAACCATGAAGCCAACATTTATTTCAATACCTTTGTGACCAAAGAGTTCTAATTCCAATAACGCGGGTTTAGGTGCTTATGGACTACTACTATTGTATGTCTTGGGGCTGGAAAGATGGCTAAGCAGCTAAGAGCACTGGCTGCTCTTGCAGAGGACACAGGTTTGATACTCAGCACCCACATGGCAGCTAACAACTGTTTGTAACTCCAATTTTAGGGGCTCCAACACCCTCTTCTGACCTCCACAGGCATTGCATGACATGGGTGCACTTACATATACAGGCAATACACAAACAAACAAAATAAAAATAGAGTTTTTTAAAATAAAGGATTCTATTAAAAAAGAAACTGTATCCTATGTCTTTACCTCAGCATATAGATGAAAATGGTCCAGCATAACTGTAACTTCTGAACAGAAAATCAGAAGTATTGTAAAGAGTAAGAAAAGGAAGTTAGACGGGTAGTATATATAGGGAGACCTAAAAACAGAAACACAAGATAAAATACATTAACAGCAGGTACTGAAACATTACTCCAAATCTATATAACATAATATCATACAATTCTGTAAATTTTTCCCCTGAGGCTTTTTAATGCTTTATTTCAAACCTCCATCTCTATATCTAGTGCCAAAAGTATTCTCTTGCCAAAGTAGTTTCAGATTTGAGCCTGTCTTCTCTAGTTAGAACTGGAGCCCCTACTTACCCATGTCTCCCTGTTCATATAATTGATTTCTCACCAACACCTCTACTTAAAAATGTAGTATCTTTTTAAAAATAGAAGGTTGTAAATGTAAATGCCATCAACGCTACTGAATATATATTAGAAAATGAGAGAATCAAATACATCTTTGCCTTTGAAGTTCTACTGACATGCAGCCTCTCCAGTTTTGTCTTCGTAATTCAGGCCACATAATTGCATTAACTATTCTTTCAAACATATATCTTTAAAAATACTCATGTGTGGATTATATTTAGGTCAAATTGAAAGAATGAAGTACTAAACTTTATTACCATTAGCTAAACTGGCTAATTTGGAAAGAATAACATACATTTTAAAAAGCTGCCTGAGCTGGGTGTGGTAGCACATGCCTTTAGTCCCAGCACTCAGGAGACAGAGGCAGGCAGATCTCTGTGAGTTTAAGGCCAGCCTGGTCTACACAGAGAGTTCCAGGCCAGCTTGGGCTACAGGAAGACCCTGTCTCAAAAAGGCCAACAAAAAAAAGCTTCCTGAAGTCAAGCATAATAGTATAGGTCTGTAATCTTTACTACTTAGGAAGCTGGAGCAGGACAATTGCAAATTCAAGGTTAACTTGTGTAACTTAGTGAGATTCTGTCTCAAAGTAAAAGAGGGCTGCAGATATAACGATGTTATGGGATACCTGCTTTGCACAAGTAAGTCTTTAGATTCAGCCCCCAGTACCATTCAGCCCCTATCTTTAGGTACCTCCCATGCAAAGGATTCCAGACCCTGGCCCCAACAAAGGCTCAGTTGGAGACCAGATTCTCTAAGTCTGGTGAAAAGGTTTGCCAACAGGGTTTTTAAATTTCATTTATTTTGTGTGTCTATGAGTTTGTGTCTATATATGTGGGTATATGCATGCCACCTCACATGCATGGAGGTCATAGGACAACTTGTGGGAGCTGATTCTCTCATTCCACAATGTAGGTTCCGGGGACCAAATTCAAGTTATCAAGCTTGGAGGCAAGCATCTTTACCACTGAGCTAACACTGGCCTCTCATTATTAACTTTTAAAAAATTTATGTGCATGAGTCTGTGAGAATGTATGCCACATGGATGCCCTTGAAGGCCAGAAGAGGGTGTTGGATCCCCTGAAGCTTATAGAAAGTTGTGAGCCACCTGACATGGGTACTGGGAAATAAACTCAAGTCCTCTGGAAGAGCAGAAAGCACTCTTAACTGTTGAGGTCTCTCTCCAGCCCCCTGGTTATTACATTTTTAGAAGGAAATCTTTAGTTATTTCCATTAGAGTCATGTTAAAAAGTTGTACATTCAATTTCGGTTCCCTAGGAAATTCCCCAGGACTAAACTGCTATGTCCTGACTAAAGTAGAGGTGGAGGAAGCATTACTATGCTGGTATTTAACTCCCTTAAAATACAGAAAAGTTAGCAAAATGAAAACATTTAGGATTAGGAACGTAACTCAGTGGCAATGTTCACACCTAGCATGCACAAAGCCCCACGCTCAACCCTACCATTACAAAATTTCTAGTACCTTATAAAACATGTACTAAATTGTTATAAACTGAAGACATCCTGCTGTGCTGTAGAATATTAGAACTTATTCCTGATTTGATTGTATTCTGGTACCCATTACTCATCTTTCTTGACTTATCTTTGAATATTATCTACACGTGCCAAACTACAACACTTTACCCAATAAATATATAGAATTGTATGTAATAATTAAACTAAATTTGGGGGAATTGTAAAGATGCAATACTCACCAAATGTTACTTAGAATGCAAGAAAATTGAATAAAAATACAGGCAAAGGGTAAAAGACTGCCAAGTATAATGTTAACAGCTGGCTTTGTAAAGAAACTCCTTTTGAAATTCTGACGGGGCATCTCTTTCATCTGAATTGGGAAATCATACTGTTTAAAAATACACAAAGAAACAATAAGAATGAATGAAACTAAAGTAAATTCATACAGTCATAATGACAATACAGTACAGAATCTTGAATCTGAGTAAGATATGACTATCATGTAGGCTAGGACTAGATCAGCCCTATGCACTAAAAGAATAATATAATGGGAAAATAATACATATTCAGGTATAGTTTTAAGGTTTTCCATAGTTACATAAAAGTATAAAAAGGAATAGGTGAAAATAATTTTAGGAGCATATTTTATTTATTATAACATGTCCAAATATTGTCATTAAAGTTGCGATACAAAAAGCCAAATGTAGTGACTCACACACAGAAACGTGTTGCTATAGGGACTGAACCCAGGGCACTGTGCATGATAGCCAAGCACTCTACCAACTAAGCCACATTCACAGCCCAGGATGTTTATTACTTTAAATAAATTCCAAGGGAGAGATTCAACAAGGTTTACTTGTGGCTATTCTAATATGAAATGAATATGTTTAAAAGTCCCCCCCAAGAAAGTTCCCTTAGAATTTGCCTAAGAATCTATCTCTTTAATAGATTGGTCAACGAATCTGTCAACAATATTCATTTTGTTTCTTTTTCCTGCTTTTTAGTGAACTCTTTCTCCTATTTTTCCTGTTTTGACTTCTCCCTGCATCTAAAGCTATAGTTTTATACAGTCGTCTTGCAGTGTGGTCTCATGTAGTCTTTTTGGCATCATTTTCCTTTTTTCCTATATGGAGAACTGGGATAACTTCAAATCTGTAACTGAACAGCCCCATTTCTCAGATTGTGTCTTGGCTCTTTTCCTCCACTATATAAATATAATTATTTTTCAAGGTGGTTCATGTCAGCCTTCCTACAATATACCCTTTTAATTTTATTCTTCAGAGATAAAATGAAATGTAAATAAATGTATAATGTGGGAAATACATTCAACAATATTTGTGGAAATGCTACTATCTTTGACTTATTTTTATATATCTTCAATGAAATGATTATTCTGTTGCTTTTCAGTGGTATTTTTGTATTTTATATACAGTATACACACAGAAAGATATTTTTTCATGCTTCACTCAATTTTCAAAAGCAGTATTTTGAACATTTACCTTTTTCCCAAAGATTATTCCCAGAAATGTTAGTGGTACTGATATTCCAAACCACAACACAATGGTTCTTATCAGTGTACCAAAGGAGACAGCCACTGATGATTCTTCCAACCAAAGAATTAGATTCATAGTGAGTAAGTCAGTGAAGACAATTCTAAGGAAACGGGGATAGGGGGAGGGGACAGTGAACAGCATCAATAGAAAGCAATATACTTCCAGGGGAAGGTCATTAACATATTTGATACAGATGTCAGAATAGTCTTTTTGTGGAATTATATAATGAATTACAAGGATGAACCCTAGAAAATATTACATCATGATACACAAAGCAGTCATTTAGCCAAGGCTTACACTGTGTGTCATGTGACAGCAACTTGTTATAGGATGTGATTTCCAAATCCTGCTCATGTTTTCACCTCAAAAATGTAGCAGAAAATAAATAAGGTATGGATGAATATACCAATCTGCAATACAGTGAACCCAATGAAGAACCAGCATATGTGAAAACCATATTTTAATCCTAGACTGAAATGGGCTTTATCATGCATGAAACAAAACATCTAAGGATTTTGATATTAGTCATTCCAAATCAACAAGTCAACTGTTAAGTAGCCCCGCTACACCACCAGACAACAGTTGCTGTGCCTCTACTTATTCCAGATAGATTTCTCTACAGAAACAGGTAGGTGTCAGTGTGATATGGCCATGAATGTTTTAGAATGCCTAAAACAAAAGTTTGGAAAAAAGTTGACAAAGGTTAAATTATGGCTCAGAATGTTTAAAAACAAGAGAAGCTTTAGACCATGAGAATAAGAACTAAAAAGGACAATATTCCTGCCTTGGAGCCCATCACACTCCCAGGAGCTCTTTCTCACTTCCCATGTTAACTCTGCTCAAAAATAAAACTTAAAAGAATGAACTGAAGAGGTTTTAAAATTCAATTTCTTATAACCCAATGCAGTTTTTCAGGAAGAGCTATGAGAAAATATGACAAAATAAAAGGAGCCCAGATACAAAGTAGGGAGAGTCAGTCCAATATGGTGTCAGTTAAAAAATAAAGAGATCGTAACAAAAGAAACAAAGAAGTAACTGACTTTGGTTAAAAACAGAAGGTTGAATTCACATACTTAGATTTCCTACATTCTCAAAACATTGATAAAATTTTAGTAAAGGAATTTATAAAAGGGCATATATGCAAAAGTTTTGATATGGGAGAGAGAAATGGGGAATAAATACTAAATCTAGATAGCAGCTAGACAATAGTGGCCTAGTCACTATAGCTGAGAGAGCTGCCTCCCAATTCCACAGCAAGGACAGCTTAGAGGCCATTGAATTTATACTGAGAACCTCAAAAGCCTGAAGACTGGTCAGAGGCCATGTCCCTCTTTAAGCATGCATAAATGGGGACTCTATGAAAGTTAGCCTAAGAAGCTAAAAAACCTAAAAATTCCTTTGCCCACTAGGCAAAGCCCAATAACTTCCCTTCCTTAGCCTCAGCAGGAGACAGGGTCTACTCTCTTAGGAATGTTAGGAGAAAGCTTTAAAAAAAATCTACCACTGGCATCTTTAGAGCAATTAGAGGAGATATTGCAGCCATAAAACAAGATGAGAAAAGTTTAAGGACTTTTGAGACAATAAAAGAGCTCTTGAGAATTAAGAATATGACAAGGGGGATTAAAAGCTCAATAAAAGGGTTGAGAGATAGATCTGATAAAATGTATTAAAAAGCAACACCACAAAACAGCACAAAGAGAAAAGAGGCAAAAGCACATACAAAAATTAGATGCATAACCAAGACATCAAAAAAATTTAGAATTATGAGACGATAAAAGAGTTATTTATTGAGGTTGGAGGGATGGATGGATGAGCAGTTAAGAGCACTGACTGCTCTTGCAGAGGACCTGGGTTTGATTCCTAGCACCCACATGGCAGCTGACAACCCTCTGTAACTCCTGTTCCAGGGGAATCCGACGCTGTCTTGTGATCTCTGCAGGCATTGCATGACACACGTGCCCTTACATACATGCAGGCAATATACTCATACACATAAAAATAATAAATGTTTTTTAAAAAGGAGTTCTTTATTAATAACTTTAAGGGATACTAAATACTTTCCTGAAGACTGGACAATGGATAAGAGGCAAAGCTGCAGACCAACAAGATGGCCCACTGGATAAAGGAACTTTCCATGAAAGCATGACAACCTGAGTTCCATTCCCAGAGCCCACATGATGGAAGTTGTCCAGTGACCGCCACACATTGCACTGTGACACACATCACCTTCCCTTTCTACCACACAAACATATCATATGTACACGATAATAACTACTAATTTTTTAATAGGCAGAACTGGGATTCTAATTAAGGTATGTGTGACTTTTTTTTTTTTTTGGTCTTTTTTGAAAGAAGGTCTCCCTGTAGCCACAGCTGGCCTGGAACTCACTATGTAGACCAAGCTTGCCTTGAACTCATAGAGATCTGCCTACTTCTGCTTCCCAAGTGCTGGGACTACAGGCGTGCCACCATCCGGCTGTCTGACTTTTTTAGAGCGAACTTTTCCCTCTCCACTATGCTATAAACATGTCTCTACATGAGGTACAAGAGTAAATTCTGGTGTCAAAGAAATTCCATACGTCAAAATACGGTGGTTCTCTGAGACAGTCAACTGTCTAGTGCATCTTGCTACAAATCTGAACAGTTTCTCTTTGAAGAAAACTGCGAACTTAGGCTTTTAGTGCTCTGCTTGACCAGGTTTGTAACAGACCCTTTCCATGGCTCATGTTTATGATAAATGCCTACCTTTGAAGTCCTAAAAAATGTGTCTGTAGCAATGTATCTAGTCCTGAACTTTTCTCCTCTCTTCAACATTTTGTCAGTGACCAGAGAGAGAGGAAGTGTATTAATAGCCACTTAATGATAACATGCCCAGCTAAACTCAATATTTCCTTCTTACAAAATAGCTGTTTAGTTCTAAGTTCTCTCAAGGTCCATTGCAAGACTAGGATTCTAATGCTGACTTCATATGTATTTTCCATCTCTTTCCAGTGCCTTATTCAGGAACACTGCACTGGATACTTTCTCTTCTTCAATTACATGTTACTTGGTTAGTTACTAAACTAACTTCCATTATTTGTTCTTTCGTTTTTCTTTCTACTTCACCGTTCTCCTTCTGTTTATGTTCTTTTCTATCAACACTTTTCTTAGTAGTTTATTCTATTTTTTAAATGTTCATACTCTGCTTCTGCTGGGGATACAGCTTTAGGGCCTTTCAAACAATAACAAACATCTTTGCATTATGCCTTATAAATGTCTGACATCTTAATAAGAGAGCCTGGTTTTCCATGATTTAACCACACTCCTCAATACGTTTTACAATATTTTCATTGATTGCATGAAAATTTCATACATTATATTTTGATCATATTCAGACCCCTCCCCCATCTCAACCCCACCTTACTACCCCCCTTCATGACCTCTATTAATAATGTTTTTCAAAGGCCTATTGAGTCTAATTTGTGTCCCCAAAATGCTGTTGGGTATGGGTCCATCCAGCCTACCTGACATCACACCTTTAAAGAAAACTGCCTCTTCCTCTCCCAGCATCTGTCAATTGCCAACAGAGCCTCAGTAAGGTTGGGGTTTCTTACCTACCTCCCCCATTTTGTCTGGATTGAGCTTAATAGATCTTGTCAGAAGTGCTGTGGGTTCATATGTGCAACTGCCTTATTGTGTGCAGACAACACTATTTCTTTGTATTCATCCACCTCCTTTGGTACCTACAACCTTTCTTCCCCCTTCTTCCACAACGATCCCTGAACTTTGGGAGGAGAGGGTGTGATGTAGGTATCCCATTTAGGGCCAAGCTGAAAATGTTTTTAATACCTTTCTGCTCTAATCAATTTGTTTGCCACGATATCCCTTTGCCAAACTTCCTAGTTTTGGGAGATTCAGTTCAACTGTTATCATTCCTTGGCCAGAAAATTACTTCTCATTTGGCAGATGATAACCTCCCTTCTTATAAACTCAATTAGCCCATCCCAACAAATTCCCTTTTGGAAGTATGCTCTGCAATGGTAATGTGTGTTTAATAAATATAACTGGTCTTCGACATCATGTTTTTACATCCTAAATATGTCTTCCTGTGCTACTCTATTTATGTTTAGATATTTTCATAGTATGTTAAGCAGCAAAACTATAGTTAAATGTAGGAGGTCACTTAGGTCCATTGTTCTACTGGCAACATTTATTTACATATTCATCAAGTACCTACTAAATATGTATATGTTAAATCGTGATGCTCAAAGATAAACTAAAAATTTTTGCTTCTATAAAGCATAATCAAATGATAACTAGACAAACACAAATAAATTAAAAGGCAACATGGGAAATACTATGGCATAATAATGAACAGAAAGCACTAAGAAAAAAACAGGGGCCAAAAATGTTTTAGATCTCACAAAACTATCCCCCGATCGATTATTTCATTTATTTCTCTAAACAGCTTTGTTACACAGGTATTTACAGGAAAGGAAACTGGACATTCATAAAAGCTATGGGACTTAACAAAAGTCATTGACTTTATATTGAATGTTAGAATTCAACCTTTCTTCTTCCAGTTTAAAATCTCAGTATAAACCCATCAAATTAAGCTACCTCTTTCTT